TGGACTCGATCTTAGAGGTCTTTTCCAACCTCAATGATTCTATGATTCTATGATTCTATAATGTTTAGCAGGCCTCACAGTTAGGAAAACAGATTCTGTTTCAGGGTTTCAAAGACTGAATTTTCTTAACTTCAGTGCTAGCTTTTGGATTTTGTTGGACCAGTGCCAGCAAAACTGCGTGTCACCTGGTATTATCAGCTCTGTTTCCATATACATAATGATCACATCCCCTCTTAACCTGTTCTGCAGTAAGCTGGACGCATCTCCCGAGCCTCTCTTCAAAAAGTTTGTTTTCTCAGTTTTGACCTGTCCTCTGAACTGCTTCTTGTGTTCTCACATCTTTCATGTGCACACCAACATTGGCTGTATTTCAGCAGTGATCACATCAGTGTTGTATGTGCCCTGGCATTCTTCCTGCATTTTGACACTGGGCCTTCTACATCCCAGGTAAGTGGTATGAAAAACAAGCTTTGGAGTGTCCCACAGGGGGTTCATCCTTCAATGGGTTTTCTTTTTCTTTTGGCAGAAAGGGCTAAGGTGTGAAAGGAAAAAAAGGAAAAGTTCTCATTTACCATCCTAAATAGAACCAACCTGGGAATCCTCGGCATTTGCTCCTTTCACAGAATAGTTTCTTTTTTTTTTTTGCTTTTGTTTTCTGATCTGTCTCAGAACTACTGGCCTTCATCTTTCTAGTGTAATGGAAACTGAGTACATGTTATTTACTTACAGAGTTGGAGGCAGGAAAATATGAAAATCGAAGTGGAGTCAAGGATACTTCCGCTGTAAATGTAATCAGCCTCTGCCTTACTGTACAACTTCCCACACCTTTTTTCTCATGTTTTAGGTATATTACTCCAGCCTCCTCCCAGTTCTGCACCAGAAAGGTGGGGGTAAGGATTCTAAAGAGTGTAATGTTGTAAGGGACCATCTCTTATCCCACTTTGCTTACTGCTACCCATTCTCCTGGTTTCTTCATGCTCTCAAATGCGTCGGGCCCCTGAATATCTGTAGCTTCTTTCTAATTCTCCACTGCATTGATTTTTTTTATAATGGAAATAAAATACTTAAAATGAGATTTAAATAATCATTTTGTCTTTTCTAAAAGAAAAGTGTATCTAATTTTCCCTGCAAATGCATGTGACAAGGTTTAAAATCTTTCTTTTATTGATATATATGTGGAAGTTCCTAATGCAGTCAGCATTTCACGTCACTTGGTTTTGATTGCTGTTAGATACTAAATATGAAATGAGTAGAGAATTGGCTTGTTTTCCACTAAAAATTATAGCAAATGTTTTTTTTTTTTCCATTTTTACTTTCAAAGGTGAGAATACTTTCTAATGTGAAACTACGCTATCATTATATCAGCAGGAGCTCTGCAAAAAAACAAGCTCATCTTGGCTATAGCAGAGTGTAAGTCCATTTTATGTTTGCTGTGAAACAGTTTCTGTCTGCTAGTAGACATTTTACATGGTTGAGAGCCTGACCATCCTGTTCTTAATGCAGGTATTCTCTGAACTGGTAAAGAAAAATAAAGTGCTGTAATAGGCACATATTTCTTTTCCCTGAAATCAAGTCATTGTTAGAGAAACATAATGTGTTGAATTATATATTGCTAAATTTTTAGAAGCAATTACAGGGACTTCAATTTCAGTTTGACAATAACGGATCTGTCAATTTCCTTCACTGTCTTCATGTGTTCAGAATCTGGTCATGAGCATTCGTGCTTGTATTTGAATTTTTTTATTAACAAAATGTCAAAGGATGGATGTTTTTCATTTCAAGGTACCTCCCAACTGCAAAACAAACAACCAACAGAGGAGCCTGTGTTCAAAGACAAATGGCTGTTCAGGTCCCCCAAAAGAGTTTGTTTTAAAGCTTGTACTTTGTAAAGCTTGTACATATGTACTTGTATGTACGTATTATTTTTTTAATTAGAAAGATAAAGGCTAGTTTTGTGTTTGGAGATGAAATGCTGGATGGACTGACTGCTAGGTGAGCTCCACCTGAAAGGCTTTTTTCCTGAGATACTTTCCAGAGAAAGGTTGCCTGCCAAATAAAATATATTAAAATACTTTGAATGACTTCCTGTCTTATTCAAAATAACCAGGGTTTGGACCTGGCAGAGAGTGGAAAACAGATGGAGTAGCAGGCAAAGCAAAGGAGGAAGGGGAAGCCAGCAGTACCGTGTCAAGTACATGGCAGGCGGTTTGGTTGCCCTCTGATGCTTTCGTACAGCTCTCACTGAAGGCAGCGTGGGCTGTTTGCCAGTTCCTTGGGTAAGAACATGTCCCACTGCACTGTCCTACCTATCGATGCTGCTAAGTGGAAGCCCTGCAGCTGAGGACTGATCTAGATCAAAGTCTTCAACTCACAGGTAGTCTAGTGGGAAGTGTAATCCTGGAGGGGATTCTTAGAGCAAAATCTGCAAAACCTATTTGCAACAGAGCTGGATAGCGCTAGACAATCGACCAAGAATAATCTGAAAATACCTGTTTGTTAGTACAATAATAAATTTCGCATCCTTCATGAAGGGACACGGTGTGCATTTTGCAAAGAGGGGCCCTTGTGAAGACAACAGAACTGACTAGAGATCAGGCGTTGCCATGGGAGTCTGTGGTAAAACTCTACTGACTTCACAGGGGAAGAACTAAGCCCAGCACAGCTACTGTTTTAGTAAGATGCTGTACTTCCTATAATGACACACTGATCTAAAAACATGTCACAAAGAATGCACCTTGAAATACTCAATAAGCGCTTTCGAATACTTGACTGCATGGTCTCTCTTGAGTCGGAACATCCTCCAGTACAGAAGGGCCAGGCAGCGGTAACTAGAACAAAAGGGAGAGCAGAAGGTAAAGCGTGCCCCCTGAACAGAAATCCCAATTAATTATCTTTAATTCTCAAACTAACGCAGAGTGGAAGGCTGACAACACCTTGCTTACAGTTTTTATCACCATTTGTTTACAGTACTTCACACTTTGCCATGGATTCATGAGCAAGGCTAGGTGTTACAGCCACTGACAAATGCTACCAGTGAGGTACTAAACAAACTATACTCAGAAGGGTTTGCAGGTTTGGGTTCCCAGGCCTTGACTCTGAGTCGAAGTCTGCACAATTGACCAAAGGCCTCTCCCGTGAAAAGGTCATTACAGGCCTGGAACCCAACATATGCATTTTTTTTAAATTTCTTTTTGTAAATGCAAAAGCAGCCTTTTGGGGTGTCTTATCCCGGGACTTTATTACAACAGCCCGGAGCCTGTATAATTAACTAGAGTTATAATGGGTGTATTTTGTGTACACCAGTGGTCTCTTCCAGCAGCTGGAGATAGCTGGGAAACAGGGAAACCTCGGACCTGCCCACATTTCACTGACCACGGTCCTCAGTGGGAAACCAGAATGGAGATTGTGTTGGAGCCTGGAGGTTGTTCCTAGGCCACCTGCCTGATTTGTTCCCCAGGGGAAACCAGCAGTGGGCTGAAAAACTCAACGTGCTGTACTGGAACTGTCTGACCCCGTGCTCCTCATTAGTCTGCAGAGAGCCGCACACCTTTAATGCTATGTAATTAGATGAGAGTAATAGCTGTTAACAATAATGATACATCACAATAACTGATAATCAGCATTCAGGACACACAAACTCTTTCCTTTGCTATTGGCTTTAGGTGCGCTGGTCTATTTTGCAAATCAAGAATCACCACCACCTCTTCCCAGCAAGCTTTTTGATTGGCAAGTGTGGGATTGCCCGTCGGTAACACAGCTTTCGAAGCAAAAATCTGGCGTGTTTTGCTTTTCCTTTGGCAGCAGAGGCCTTATTTTTAAAAGCAGTATTCGGTCTCCGAGCCAACCTGAAGCAGCAGAAGGTGCCTTGAGTTTGGAAGCGCAGGGCGCCCCCCGCCTCCCCGCGCCCAGGAGCTGCCCGAACCTCAGCAAACCCCTCGAATTAGCAAATCTCTCTTGGAAAAAAGTCCCAGCCAGGGTTTCCCAGCCCGTTCGCCTCCCGTCCCGCGGGCAGGAGGTGACTTTCTGCCTTCGGCCGCTGGAGGGCAGCCTCTCCTTAGGAGAAGCGGAGCCGGGCGGCCTCGCAGAGCGCCGTAACTCTCGCTCTGTCGCCTTCACAGGTACGGCGCGTAGGCAACGGGTGCCGCTGGCTGGCAGAGGGTGCGTTCGGAGTTGCTACTCGCCGCCCGGAGAAGGCACCGTCTGCTTTCCCTCGCTCTGACCTTTCCGCTGCGACAGATGCGGCGGCTCCGCCCGGGCGGCTCCGCCAATTCGGATGCGGCTCCGCGCACGCCGGAGCGCTCCGGCAGTTCTGAGCCACCCTCCGGAACGTGGCTTTATGGGTTTTGGGTTTGTTGTTTTTTTTTTTTAACCGTTCCTTAGTCGTTTTCCCACCTAAGCGTTTTTAAAGCAACTGCCGTGAATGCATTCTGGGCTCCTCCCGGTGGCACAGCAAGCCGGTGACAAAGAAAGGGCATTGAGGAAAAAAAAATTGCATCTCTCAGTATTTTGTTCTTTTTTATACAAATGATTAATTAGGACTCCTTATTTATGGAGGCTAAAGATGCATTTAATTTGGATTTTTAACAGATGGTTAATAGATGTTAAAAACACACTTGCTGATTGTAAATGTCCACTTACTGAGAATCAGTAACCATGTAATAGGTATTTTATGTATTAGCTACATAGATACTAAATTAAAATTCGATTTTAATAACGTTTGATTATTTTACTAGCAATCAGCAACCATCCTATAGAATCTAGGGTGCGTGCGTATATATCTAGAAATCTCAATTTAGAAGGTAATCCAAGAGGCTTAATTATCACCATCCCTGTATCTCCCTTCATATAACATAAATATAATATACGATTATTGAGCCTAAAATGTCAGCCACAAAAGAAATTACCGAGCTATTGGTACAAAAGTACATCACTCATAAAAACAACAAACCATCAGGCATTTAAAAATTAATTATGCTGACGCACCGTAGCTGACCTGCCACACTCAATAAGTATGAATTGCTTATTTACAGAGACAGAATGCAGACCTGGTACAGTGATACAAGGGCTGGACCCTCCCGGAGCAGAAAGTATTCTCTTAATTTCAATAGACAACATAATCCTGTCTGGCTGCATCCAGCATCTGATTTTCAAGAACTGGCTCACTGCAGAAAAGAAGCCTTTTGAGGAAATCTTGATCTACTAACCATAATGCTGCCAGCTGTTTGTCTTCTGGCGTGGCGTTGGGGCCTGAGTGGGTTTTTAGTCTCACTGCATACCTTAAGCAAAAGGAAAAAAGCCAATGTGAGTTAACCGAGACAGCTTTATATTACTGATCAGAGCGCTAAGCTGGCCGATGTCATTTGATCTGCCCCCTTATACATATTTGCTCAAGTTACCAGACATACATGTGCTTTTTCTGGTTGTGTTTCAGAGCTATTTTGCCATTAGCAGTGCCTCCCCGCACTCTTTAAACAGCAGTAACTCCCTTGAACTCCGTCAATCCAGAGGGGAGCCTAGCTGGCGAGGTGATGCTGTCCTACCACAATAACTTCTGCTGCTGTGGAGACCCAGTTACACAGAATTTATGCAGAAAGGTTTCCACAGCGTTTGAAGACAGACGGCCTGCCTTGAAGCTGGTGCTGCCCTCACCCTGCCAGTTCTGAGCGTGTCTACGCAGATTTGCTCCTCCAAGCAGAGCACAGCAGAGGGGGAACATGCGGCTCAGAGCTATTTTTGCTCATATGACATTACATTCAAATTCTATAAATATTAAACATCCACAGAGGTAGCACTGTTGTTTCAAGAGTGTATGTGCTATGCAATCACAAATTAGTTTCTGGAAATCTCAGCTTCCAGCTGAATATGTGAACAATGGACAAGGTTAGGACAACACACAGCACTTCTGGGCTCGCTTCCAGAAAAATACCTGTTCCCCATAATTAGCTGCTTGTGTTTTTTCTTATCTTTGCCTTCAAACTTTAATCCTGGTACCTGTGCAAAGATTCAGCATGAACGTTTTGTTTCAACAGGCATACCTAGTAAACCACCTATTTTTCTGAGCTGCAGCAAGTGAGATCAACAGCAATTCACACTACAACACAACCACAGCTACACACGCTATTGAAAGCTATGGATCTGCAAGCAAAATTCATTTCCAGAGTTAGGACCGTATATTTACCATCATGAGAAAAGACAGGGCAGACAAAGAAAGAGCTTTCTGCCTTTTGAAAAGAAGAAGGGAAGAATTGCGGAGATGGGATGTACTATTTCTTACTGAAAAAAACCTTTGATTTTGTTTAATAACCTTCCAGTTAGAAAGCTGGCCTCAATCCACTGAAATGCATGAGAAGACAGCCCTAAGTGGAATAAAATGCCAATGGAATTGTTAACATGCGAGGAAATCATTGCATCAACACTAAGTCCAAAAGAATGCAGGTGTTTCAGAAGCTTTGCTCCATTGTGAATATGATTAACAATTAAAATGTTTTACTTCCTATGAACTTAGTCCTGACAAGAGCTGCGTGGTTGACTGTGCACTAGCAGTGCGGCTTTCTCTCCTAGTGTGGCCGGGCTCGCTCTCTTGCAGAGAGAGTCACTCAGCTGCTGGGATGATTTTGACCTTTGTGTTCTCTACCGACACTGTAAATGATGTTAACTATTAGTACCAACTATGACCTTTGTGTTCTCTACCGACACTGTCAATGATGTTAACTATTAGTACCAACTATAAAGGAGGAAAGGACTTAAGAGACAAACTTCCTTCACAGGGACTTGAGGGTGGGACGGAATTCTAGACTGTCCTGTTTGGAGAGCAATGAAGGTGACTAAGTATAGGGGTCTGCTTTAGTGTGAGCTGGACTGCTTTTGGGACTCCACTGGCTACAGTAGGAGCATACACACCACATGGACCTTGAGTGACCATTTTTCTATCACTGTTCACATCTTCTTTCAGGCAACCATTAAACTGCAGTCTTAAACATGTTGCAACATTTTGCAAACTAGCACTCCATGAGAATGTTTTGGTATTATGTATTATTATTTTTCCCTTTTGAGTAGCACGGGACTTATACCATGAAACTCTTGAAGTAATTTGCAACTCAAGTAATATGAAAAGCTTTGGGGTTTTTTTTGCATTCTACACAGTTTCCTGATTTAATTTCCATAGAAATCACAGATGATACATACATATTACATATGACTGACCAGGCATTTGGGAGGACCTCATTTCTCCCCTTCTACTGTATCTAGGGAATTATGTGATGATGTAGATGAGCATGTTTGCACAAACAGAGTAACCCCTGAGGTCATCTCTTCCCTTCCTACCTGATGAGTTCAACTGTTTCTGAATACATTGTATAAGGGGATTTAGATTCCATTGGGCCTTGTTCCATTGCATTTCCACACTCAATAAACGATAGTGCTGCTTCTGCATAATTCAGTGCCTTTCCAAACTTTTCCACCTAGAGGAAAAAAATAAGGACACAGAGAAATAGTGTAATCATCAAGATATGGTTATATTTGATGGGATTTTCTCAACATCAATTGTAAACTTGACGCAAGTTGGTATATCTTCAGATTCACAAATTTTCCTTCAAGAAAACTAAAACCCATCAAACCCTGTGCATCAGTGAAAATCATAAGATACAGAAAGTAGAGCTGAAGAAGGCTACAGAATGCTATTTGGTCCACACTCTTGTGTCCAAAGAAGGATCAGCTCTGCCTACGACATTCCTGATCTTTGTCAAAGCTCTTCCAAGTGCTGGAAATTCCACAAACTCATCAGGCCTTTTGTTCCAGCTTTCATTAAAAAGGGTTTCACATACGTTTGCAAATGTAGTTTTTCATCACTCAACGAAGGTAATGATTATTGTGAACTAAGAGAATCAGAAATAATACTTTGACTACTGTCTCTCTTATTCAAAGGCTCATCTCTGTTCTCATGTCTTCTTTATCCCTACCATTTTCAGCCCTGCTTGACCACAGCCTCCTCTTGTCAGGAATTTGCTTTCTATATCCTCCTCCTCTTTCAGGGACTGCTCTGCTCCCTCAGCTTCTCCTGCCATCCTTCTTCCTTGCCCCATTTCTTCTCCTATTTTCAGTACTTCTTTGACTCTGTGTGTGTATTTGTGTACTTATACACATATACGTACATATATGTCCTCAACGACGGTGTATATGCAAATGTGCACATAATGTTCATATGTGTACACTTACATACCACTTATCTGCTCTCAGAAGTTCGTTTTTGATGTGGATAGAGGTGAGTCATACTAATACCTCTCTGTCCTGACTTCTCTTTCCTTCAGTCAGAACTCCTGTGGTACATAAAGCCCATTAATGGACTGGATGCATTTGGTTGAAATCTGATGCACACAGTGAAAGGTTAATGGACCTTATTCTTTTCCGAGGGATAAAGATTTTAAATAGTAACTTTGGAATGGCACACTGGCTTCACTCTATTTTAGGTTCTTATATGACTCCCATTGCGATCATACCAGAGAACTTCACAAACTTTTTATTATATTTCTCTCCCCGGTGCTCTTGTGCGGGTGGAGGTGCTATTATCCCAATTTCACAGATGGGGGACTAAGGAGCAGAGAGACTTAGAGTAATTTTCAGGCTGCTCACTCTAAGTGCCTATGTTAGGTATTGCAGGGCCAAAGTAGGAGCTATCGAGCCCAGCAAGGTGATTCAAAGTGCCTGGAGGCACTTTGGCAATATGGCAATTCCTCCAGGATCCCTACACAGTCAATGAGGGAGAGGAAGTACCTGCAAAGAGTGATTCACAAGGTGTAAGTAAGGTGCTGGTCCACTGTGTACGGAAGCTGAATGTGAAGGATGTTTCAATCACCTAACACTGATGGGAGGCTATTTAAGCTGTGCCTAAGTGACTCTCATGCAGGAAACTTGTAGCAGAGCAGAGAATAATGCTCGCACCTCCTGTTTCTGGGAGTCTACCATAAAACCATTTCTCTTCAGGCTAAGAATTTCCTTTGCATAGTAAGTGATTTTTTCCATTCTGTTTAAAGCAACACACTAAAATGCACCATTTGTACTTCTCCACATTTTTTTCTGATTTAAGACTCACTTTAGAGCAATATGGAACTGAATAAACCATGGAAATTTGCGCTAATAAACTCAGGTAGAGTGTAAAACTCGGTGTTAGTGTCCTAAATTAAGGGCCTGCTTCTGCTTCCTTGGCTTTTTTACATTCTGCACAGCTGAGAAAAAGAGGTGAAGAAACAGAGGCTCTGAGCTACCTTTCTTGTTTCCTGCTGCTGTGACAACAAAGTGTCTGTCTGACAGAGCAAGGCAGGACTGCAGCTACTCCCGCCTGCAAGCCAGCCATATTAATGCAGGGTCCCACCCCATATATTGCAGGTGCAATACGTGAAGAAGCTGTGCTAGCTTATTCATAGTGCTGGACAAACGTAGCCTTGGAGAAAGCTGAGAGACGGCTAAGCAGAGCTCTCCTGGAGCACTGCGTACTTCATTGCACCCATTTGTTTGGGAAGACAAGCATCTCTTTAGTGCTCCATATAACCTCAGATTCCCCTTTTTCAAGTGGGTCTTACCGGCTACATTTTTAGACAGGTCACAGCCAGGGCCAAGAATCTCTTTGCTGCAACAGTCCTTTGTGTGCAACGTGTTCCTCTAGGGTTACACAGATTCCTTGTGTGCTTCTGATTACGTTAGGAGAGGTCTGCCATGAAACCAGGATTCTTTTGGCACTGAAGAGCCAAAGCTCTTTAAAAAAAGTACTAATACCTCAGCCACCAGACCAAATTTGGGAATGCAATTATAGGACCTAGCCAGCTAGTTAAACTGAGAAGATAGGTATGTAGATCCCTTGTGCAGCCTCCATTACTATAGTTACTAATTAAAGCAAAGGAATAAGTGGAAAGTTTTATTTATCCAGGCCTTTATCTCGGTAAGTCATTATTTGTTAAGTCATAGTTTATTGGGCTATGAACATCTGATTATACAAACATTTCTTAATTTAACAAGCCTAGCCATCCTTATAATAGATTTTATAATTACCCCAGCAATACTGCACTGATGAAGAAACTGCATTACAAAAATAATTTGGAGCAACATAACTGGAAAGAAAATGTTCTCACCATTGCATCTGCTTTATGCTTCTTCCGTTTAGCTTCCTGCATAAAGTAATCTGCATTGTGTGGCCTACCAGGGGAAAATAAGAAGACATTTTATTATTTTCTGAAGTGCAGAATATTTTCAAGTTATTTTTCCCTTATTTTAAACCTGATTTGCAAACATTTTTAATGAAGAAAATACACTTATCATGTAACCATGCATCTTCTATTTCCAAATTGCTGCCTGTGGAGACAATAGCATTTATGACTGTTCTCATTCTTTAGAAGTCAGTGATTCAAAGCAAAAAAAAGCTAATAAAATGTGTTTTTATGGATTATATAAACTGCTTCCCAAATTAGTGCAGTTTTGATCTGCAAAACGGATGCAAGTGTTAAGTGGAACAAGTTATTCCATCTTCTCCTCTCCTTGGTGCTTGCTTACCTCTTTTTCTCCTCCTCTGTACATTGTCATTTGCCTTGGCTTCTCCCTCCTCTCAAAACAGATGTGTGTTTAATCTCTCCGCCTTGAAAACATGCATCGAACCTGCTTGCCTCCACAACTACCATCTCACCCCCCTTCTCCCTCTTATCTGTAAGCACACTGAGAGTGCTGTTTACTTTTGCTGCCTGGAGTTCATCTCTGACTCGGTGCTGGGCTGCCTGCTACAATTCCACTGGCATTGCTCGTGCCAATTTCTCCATTGATTTCTCCTCAAACAGATCTCAGAGACTCCATCCCTTCCTTAACCTACCTGACCTACTGCCTGCAGGGCACCAATTCAACTGCTGTCTCTGTGCTGAAATTCACAAGTCCGTTTCTGATCCAGACTTATCCACTTCCATTCAAGCTGAAAACACAAACTGATGTCTCCTTGGAAATGTCTGGTCACCACCTCAGTGAGCTCCTCATGACTGAAGCAAATTTCTTCATCTCTTCCCACAAACTCTCCCTATTGCACCTTTCTCAGTCACTGTGGAGAATAGCCATTTGCCATGTCATTTCAGGCCATAACCTTGCATCTTCAGTTGTTGCCTCTCATAAAAGTCTTCATATTTCCTGACCCTGCAGATTCTTCCAGTCTCATATACGTGGGAGATGGCCGCCTTCTTTCTCTACTCAGCTAAAACATGTCCTGGTTCTTCTCAGCTTGTACTGTGGTTACTCCCATATCCTCGTCTCTCTCAGAGAAGGAAGTTCTGCGTTGCAACATAGTTTTCTTAATATTGGTCACAATGCCATCCCTTTGCCCTTATCTAATGAAAATGAATTATTCCTGAGTAGTCAGAGTATGAATTCTGATGTTTTTACCATTCATGCTTTTAAGTGCTTGGTGTTGTAAATGATATGGTATTATTGCCACTTAGCAATCTGTTGTACTCTCTCAGAGAAGGAAGTTCTGCGTTGCAACATAGTTTTCTTAATATTGGTCACAATGCCATCCCTTTGCCCTTATCTAATGAAAATGAATTATTCCTGAGTAGTCAGAGTATGAATTCTGATGTTTTTACCATTCATGCTTTTAAGTGCTTGGTGTTGTAAATGATACGGTATTATTGCCACTTAGCACTCTGTTGTAGGTTAACCCTGCTAGGCAGCTCAGCCCCACACAGCCGCTCGCTTACTCCCCTCAGCAGGATAGGGGAAAGAATCAGAAGGATAAAAATGAGAAAACTCGTGGGTTGAGATAAAGACAGGCTAATCAGTAAAGCAAAGCAGAATAAGGAATTCATTCACTGATTTCCATCAGGAGGCAGGTGTTCAGCCATCTCCAGGAAAGCAGGGCTTCATCACGCTTAACGGTGACTTGGGAAGACAAACATCATCATTCCGAACGTCCCTCCCTTTCTCCTTCTTCCCCCAGCTTTTATTGCTGAGCACAGCGTCATATGGTGTGGGACATCCCTTTGGTCAGTTGGGGTCAGCTGTGCCTGTGTCTCCTCCCAGCTGCTTGTGCACCCCCAGGCTACTCACTGGCAGGGCAGGGTGGGAAACAGAAAAGGCCTTGACGCTGTGCAAGCACTGCTCAGCAATAGCTAAAACATCTCCGTGTCATCAATACTGTTTTGGTCACAAATCCAAAACACAGCACCATACAAGCGGCTATGAAGAAAACTAACTCTATCCCAGCCCAAACAAGTACACAATCCTAACTAGTTTTTTTGAAATCGGGATTTCTCAGCACCCTTGTTTAAAAAAGTGTTTTGTGTAAGTCAGAGAAAATGCAGATCTAAAACCTGAAGTCAATGGGATGGATGAGTCAAAAATTCTTGCTGACAGCAGTAAGAACATACTCAGATCCATAACTGAGATCAGTGGGAGCAATGGGGAGCCCCTTGACAGAAAAGGACTGCCATATATACTTCCTTGAGACCATAAGGCTATTTGACAGTGCATTTACTTAGTCTGTTTCCTTCTACTGAAGTGCACACAGTTTCAAGGACATTTAATTGCATAACGGAAGGTTAGTCAACCTTATTTTGATGAGAAGGAAGGCTAAATATCACTAGATGGAACTAAAATTCAAAATCTGGCTAATTTTGAATGACCTCTGCCCTAAAAAGCTTGTTGATATGAAGAAAAACAGTTCCTTTGCTCCAACTTTCTTTAAAATATTATTCTCCTTCAGAGTGGAATTTCCCCCCAGCTTACTCTAGCCAGTAGGTCAGAACGGGGACTACAGTCAGGTTTGCGTCCCAGTATCTCATAACCTACTGCAAATACTTCCTGTGCCCAGCAAGATGCTAACATTATCTTAATAATACAAACCATCTGGATTTGGTCTTGGTCAACTATGAAATATTAGACAGTGAAACAGTGTTAGCTTGATATAGAAAAATAACGATGTTTTCAGAACCATTGAAAGAATTCTTAATGTTAATTCCCATCTCTCTTCATCTTGTGCAATGACCTAGGTAAGACGGTTTACTATGAAGTGCCAAAAAGCAAAGCAAAGCAGAGCACATCAACAAAACAGTGGTCTCATCTCTCTGAAATGATCAAAGTGATGAACCTTTACAAGATCCCTTCAAACTCAGGTCATTAAAATATGTCCTTTGCAACATTCCCTCCCCTATATCACCCAGCACCGTATGTCTAATTTGCTTGTTTGAAGCATGGTAAGAGGCTGTAAAAACAAAGTGAGATAACACAATGTAATTATCGTCTACTTATAAATAAGTTAATTGTAAAATGGTTTATTCTCCCGAGTTACGATTAGCAATGAGGGTATTAGCAAGAGGCATGCACATTACTGAACCAAGAAGCCTGCTTTGAGGGCCCTGCTATGGGGTGGTTAACCACAATGCAACGTGCAAAAACTGAAGTCATCGGTTTGTACTAAGTCCTATTGTTTTTTGGGAAGCCTAATATAAAAAAGAAACTATTAAAAGGCCATTTTAAAGCAAAGCATATATATTCTCAATGTGAATGTTTAGGTATTTCCATAGGAAAAGTACAAGATTGATTTACAAATCATGGGATGCCTAACAGAAATTAAGATTAATTGGGAACAAATGGATAGGGTATGTTTTCTTCTAGTTTCTTAAACAGAGCTTGTTCAATAGTGTTAATAAACACAGCAAGTCAATTTCTGATCTCTTTATGCCATCTATGAAATACTATTCTTCAATTTATCACTACATGTTAATAAACTTCCTATTCAGATTACTGATGTGCGTGTTGGGTGGAAATGGAAAGCTGAAATGTCCTGTAGGTTTAATGTATGTTTATGTACATTGCATACATTCCTTATACCATTTTAGTAACAAAATAAGGATGTGCTTGGATTTAATTAATTTCTGATTTTTTTAATGAGAAAGAAAGGTTTCAAATTCAGTTTTAAGTTCCCACTGCACATGAACATCATTTGCCTTTTTAAATCCAGTATACTAGTTTAAATTATTATGTCATGAAGTAAAAAAACAGAAAAAAACCCCTCTTCCTTGAAGGTAACAGGTTACCTCAGCTCATGGACATATGAAGACACATGAGAAAGCTGATGCATGAATTAATTACTCAGGATAGCTCTTTTGTATACTGCACGTTTCATATCTATGAAGTTCACAAAAGCTTGTTAATCATATTCTGATTTTACAGACCCTTAAGTTATAGTGACTGAGAACCCATATCCGTTACAAACATGAAGGTTCATCCAAATTTCCTCTGCAGCTTGGCCTATTTAGTTACATTGGTGATAATCTCAGACTGGAGAATTTGCAGGTAGTCTCATTGGATGCTAATTTCAGATACTGTATGTTATTGATGAGAGGCATCTTGAGGAGAAGCAAATCTTTTCCCACTGACGAGATTCAGAAAGATCTGTGGCTAAACCCCTTTTCAGGTCTTTAGTCTAAGGTTTGCGATCCCTCTGCAGATCACAGCCTCGCTACAGCTTGAGAAACCAGAGAATAAAGAAAATTTCTACAGGATTAAAATGGTACCAGACTACTGGTTGAACCGGAGTGGATGAGAGTAGCAGAAGAAGCACTGGAGTCTCTTCGTTAGGCTTACTGGTCATGAATGTAAACTGAAGCCCACGGAAAGTTATTGAGCGACCTCTGGTTTTCAGACAATTTAGTCAGATTCTCCTCTTAAGTTATTTACAACTGTATGTATCTGTTGGTGTCAGCACTGTCACTCCAGATTTCGAAACAGAATTCAGGCTTCTTTTTAAAAAATAATATTTAAAAAGAAGTCTGACTTCAAATTAACAGGTACAAACAAGCGTTTTATCTCTATTAATAATCTTGACTGCACAAGAAAGTCTTTTGTTTCCGAATATCTGATTGTTGGTACTTTTAGAAATGTAGTCCTCTTCAACAAAGCCAAAAAGGAGTTCTAATACACTGCTCTAATGCATCTCATATATCTCTCTGAAAGGCAAGAGAAAGAGCGTAAAGCATCAGTGCCAACTAAGTCAGGCTGCTGGTGAATTCTCCCTGGGATCAAGTGTCATTATGTGAAACTGGCTGCTCTCGAGGAGAATTTACCCTACTATGTTGATTGGGGAAAGCAATCAAGTACCGCTGGAACCAGTTCAACGCATTCTCAGTCAACACTAGCCAGTCACCTAGGCACTGCAACAGAAT